TCCTCCTCCTCCTCCTCCTCCTCCTCCTCCTCCTCCTCGACGCAGGCCGAAGGGCGAACATGGCTGTCCGCCGGCCTCCTCCTCCTCCTCTCCTCCTCCTCCTCCTCCTCCTCCTCCTGCCTACTCCTCCTTCTCCTACACCTGCTCCTCCACCTCCCCACCCCCTCCTCCTCCTCCTCCTCCTCCTCTCCTCCTCCTCCCCTCCTCCTCCTCCTCCTCATCCTCCTCCCTCCCCCCTCCTCCTCCCCCATCCTCCTCTCCCTCCTCCTCCTCCTCCTCCTCCTCCTGCCCTCCTCCTCCTCCTCCTCCTCCTCCTCCTCCTCCTCCTCTGCCTCCTCCTCCTCTGACGGCTCTGCTCCTCCATTCTCCTTCCTCCCCCTTCTCCTCCTCCTCCTCCTCTTCTCCTTCTCCTCCTCCTCCTGCTCCTCCTCTCCTCCTCTGCCTCCTCTCCTTCCCCGCTCCGCTCTGCTCTGCTCCTGCTCCTGCCCTGCTCCTGCTCCTGCTCCTGCTCCTCCACCTCCTCCTCCTCCTCCTCCTCCTCCTCCTCCTCCTCCTCCTCCTCCTCCTCCTCCTCCTCTCCCTCCTCCCCAATCGCCACCGACTTCATCCCCGATGTGAGACCTTCTTCTCGGGGGACCTGGCCCTGGCCTCGCGGCGCTGGCGCGGCGAGCCCAGCGGGTCGTGGAGCCGGTCGGTGACCTCGGCGCCGCCGCCGCCGCCGCGGCCGCCGCCACGGTCGCCGTGGCGCAACGCGGCCGCGCCACTCCACCGCGGAGGAGAGCGACGACGACGCCATGACCTCCCGTGTCGTGAAGAGAACCTTTTTTGCGTCGCAGCGCGGCAGAGGCAACCCGCTCGCGCGCTGGAGCAGCCGGGGACGCTCGGCATACGAGCTGTCCGGCCGCAAGGGAAGGAACAGGAGGGGAAGGGGCGGCCGCGAAGGGCAGGAGGGGGAGGAGGAGGACAGGAGGAGGGGCGGCCGCGAAGGGCAGGAGGGGGAGGAGGAGGACAGGAGGGAGAGGGGCGGCCGCGAAGGGCAGGAGGGGGAGGAGGAGGGGGGGGCCGTGCAGAATAGGCACGGAGAAGCGTGCTGGCCGCTCTCGGCCTCCACTGGCCCTCCCAGGGCCCAGGGGCCGTCAAGGGGCTGCCCCACGGTGGGTGAAAGAGCCGCCCCCAGGGAAGGGGTATAGATCTCCTGGGGCCCACGCTGTGAACGAAGCGCGCAGTGAGACGTCTGGGGAAGAATCCTCCTCCTCCTCCTCCTCATCATCATCACCACCATCACCACCACCGCCATCACCATCACCATCGCCATCATAATTACTCATCACCATCATCACCATCATTACCATCATCATCACCATCACCATCACCATCGTCGTCATCATCATCATCAGCAGCAGCATCATCATCATGAGCATCATGAGCATCACCACCATCACCACCAACCACCATCATCATCACAACCACCACCACCACCATCATCATCATCATCATCATCAACATCATCATCATCATCATCAACAACAACATCATCATCCTCATCATCACCATCACCATCATTGTCACCACCACCATCGTTATCACCATCACCACCACCATCACCATCACCACCGTCATCTTCATCAGCATCATCGTCGTTATCACAAAAACCATCATTACCATCACCACCATCATCATCAGCATCACCACCATCATCACCAACGCCATCACCATGGACATCAACATCACCATCACCCGCACCATGACCATCATTACCACCACCATCGTCACCATCATCATCACCATCACCATCACCATCGCCATCGTAATCATCATCATCATCAGTATCATCATCATCATCATCATCATCATCATCATCATCATCACCAATATCAGCATCATTACCATCGTCACCACAACCACCACCATCATCATCATCATCGTCATCAGCATCATCATCATCATCATAATCAGCATCACCATCATCACCATCACCATGATCATCACCATCACACTGACCATCACCATCGTCATCATCCTCGTCACCCTCATCATCACCCTCTTCATCCCCATCCCCACCATCGTCATCATCAGCATCACCACCGAGATCATCATCATTATCATCATCATCGTCATCATCATTACCACCACCATTATCATCACCACCATAATCACCAACGCCATCACCATCACCCTCACCCTTACCCTCACCAGCATCATCATCATCATCATCACCACCACCACCATCATCACCGTCATTGTCATCATCACCACCACCACCAGCACCATCACCATAAGCATCACCATCGTCACCATAACCATCGTCACCATCACCATCGTCATCATCAACATCATCAACATCCACATCAACGTCATCATCACCATCACCACCGTGATCATGATCATCATCACGATCATCATCATCATCATCATCATCATCATCATCATCATCATCATCATTACAATCATCACCACCATCACCACCAACAGCATTATCATCAGCAGCAGTATCAGCATC